AAATTGAAGTTTAGGTGTTAGTTATGTAAATACATATGGATTGAGTAGTATGTATGTAAAGCTTAGTTTTTTAATTTAAACTTTTATGGGGATTTATGTAGTAACGAAGATCTTCTATTTTCAGGGCATTTCAAGGTCTTTGTATTAATGAGTTCAGTGGCCTCCAGTTTGAGCATCAATATGCGTACGACATTCAAACCGGAGAACAGGTATGGATGCATGCACATCCACATTTAAATTCATACCAGTCAATTCTTATGTATTTACAGCTCTAACGCCTAAATTTTGGTTTTCCATTTATACCACCCAAATCTTTCATATTACATTAAAAATACCTCTTTTTTAACTTTTAAATAGTTAAATGGACCATTTTACATTTTATGCATAGATATGTAAAAATTGAAACTTAGGTGCTAGATATGTAAATAAATAGGAATTGAGTGGTATGTATGTAAATCTTTCATTTTTTATCTTGAAAAAAAAGTATTTAATGTTGATTTTTTTAAAAGTTTTTAATCTTTCTTTCATCATGTAAAAGTTGGAAAAAAATTTAAACCTAACTTGAAAGGCCTTTCTATCATCAAGAAGACATATTGGGAGGAGTCTGACAACTCAACGACCTAAATAGTCAATGATTAATATCACCCATTACAAAGAGGCATTAGATTACACATAGTGCCATTGTCAAAGCTATTATCAAAGTTTCCTTCAGGAAAAGAACAATATATGCTTATTCCAGCATGAGTGTAATACCTTATTGGAAATTCTCTTATGATACAAGAACATTTTTCCAAGTTATCATAAAGTTTCCCACTACAAGATAGATGAGTTTTTTTTTTAGTTTATTTGGGCCAATATCGTGCTCTAAGCTGAGATCCCCAAAAACATCCAAGCATCGTTGTAATTTCTTTTACAAGATAGGGGGTCTTCTCAATCATCTGGGTCAGTATCGCACTAAATACTGGGAACCCAGATATATCTACCAAGCATTGAAATCACTTTTTTGCCAAATAAGGGGGACAATCATTCTTGGTGGCATTGAACTCCAAGTCAAAAGCTATCATCTAGATGAGGGACAATCATTTTGAAATCTCTTACGCATTCAAGTTAACATCAAACTCAAAGCTGAGACTATTGAATGCTCTAAACACTGCAGTCCCTTCTATATCAGGCAAGGGACCCATCCTTTTTTGGTAAATACAAATACAAGACGAGATACCATGGCCAGAAGGGTTGTCATCATGCCTAACCCTGAGTTCTTCCTCCATCTAGGTTGGCATCATGCTCATCATCAAGATCCCCAAGTAATTCGGGTGATATTGTGATTTATCTTTTGATCCCCGAGAGGATGTTCAACTTGTGTTTAGTTTAACAGTATAAAAAAGAGTTTCATACAACATGTATAAGATGATTTTAAAGGTTAGGGGCTCATCTTCAAAACTCGCTAAGATTTCAAATGTCAAGCGAGAAAATCTATTAAAATCTACAAACTCAGTTAGTTTAGTTGGACAAACATAAATTCTCTTATGCTCAAATCTAGGACTCAAACGTAGGGCAGACTCAACAGGCTGAGATATGGTCGAGTTGTTGGTTTTTATCTTCACTTAACAAATAAATGTAGTAGTGAAGAGCCCCACTTGTCAATCTGATGACTACAAAACACAAATTTATTGCCGCTCAAGTTTAAAACTCGTACAAAGGCTGGACTCATCAAACCAAGATGTGATCATTTTGCTGATTTTTCCCTTCACTCAACAAGCCAAGTCTGAAGTGAAAAACCTATATTTATCAATATAACGATAACAAAAGCACAACTCTATCCAACTTAACATGGTTAAGTGATTTAGATTCATCAAATTTCCTCAACTGATTGGCGTATCAAGGCAAACCTAAAATATGATCATTACCCAAGAGATAATTTAATTGAGATTGAAATCATCATCAAGTTGAAATATCAACTTTCTTCAAAAGGTCCAATTAAGCATTAAACATAAACTTAAAGAATTTTGCTTTTTTTCAAAAAAGTTTGATGAAGTGTAAAGCATAAGACCAAAGAAGCTAGCTCAAACTTCATGTCAAATTTAAGACTAGGCACAAATTCTTCATTGCTATCAAGATATAGGGACCTATATTTATTCTGGGTTGACATCGTGCTTTGGATTGAGATCCCCAAATTTATTCTATATCTTATCATTTGGTTCGACGTCGTGTCCATTACAAGTTCTCTAATTGAACATTTAACATATCCGTGTCAAATCTACATTCAAGTGAATGTGCATAAATGTTTCTATCATTAGGTAAGTTACACTGTCAGTAATTTCAAAATTCAGAGGTTCTTTTCTCAGATCTATCACAATTTAGAAAGCCAAATGAGAGAATTTTGAGCTCATGATCTTCAACAAGTCAAGTTGGAGAAGTGCAAGTTTATTTGCAGCTCAAGTCCAGGACATAAACGGGCTCTGAAGGTCGAACTCAACAAGTCTAAATATGGCAGTCGCTGACAACTCTTTTCACTCAATAAGCTATAAAAACGGTTGGAGTGTTGATGTCCCTATTTTATACATCTAATGACAATAGTTGTCTTGCTGAAGTTTATCCAATTTGTAAGTTAAGTGATCAAAATTTTGATATTCTTATAACTGACTCAATGAGTGAGGCAAAACCAAATAGTTGATCCTTTCTTAGGCCCTGTAGGTGGAGGCATTATCAATTTATATCAGCAGGACATAACTATGGTCATTTCTCACTTCCCAATCAGTCGAGAATAATCAAATGAAGGATATTACCAATGCCCACCAGAAGAAAGATCATTGAATGCAAGTCAACATGAGTCAATTTTAGTTGTTTTTCACTCTCCATTACCAATTATTTTGCAAACCCAACAAATAGATTTTCAATCATTTAAAGAGCATAAGCTTGAGGAATTGTTAGAAGATATTTCTGTAAACTCTTTTGTAATACAAGAATGCATTTCTAACTCATAATAAAATCCCCCATATGACATGAGAATTTTTTTTAGTTTATTTGGGTGGTGAAATCATAATCAATACCAAACATCGAGTTATTGGCTAGTCAATCTTTTTGAGACTTTTTTTTTATAAATTTTGGGCTGACATCGTGCTTCAATGCTTAAATCCCTAAATATTTGCTTAAGAATTATGCTATTAAACAAAATATATGCATGATAAAATTTAGAAGACAACTTTTTTTTTTTTTGACTAAACATGATTTTAAAAGTTCAATTAAAAGAGATTTGCAAGCCTTAATGAGTTAAGTTGAAAAGATGCAAGTTCTACCACAACTCAAGTCTATAACTCAATTGAGTAAAAAATGTCAGACTCAACAAGTATAAAATATTGCGGAATTATTGATAATTCTCTTGACTTGATAAGCAATAAAAATGACTATAGAGAAGGAACAAGCTCTTCTGACTCAACAAGTCATAAATATAACCGCCGTATGAGTGCCCTTATTTTATTTGTTTGATGACATTAGTTGTCTAATTCTCAAACCCATCTAATTTGGCGAGTTTAAGTGATCAAGGTTCATGAAACTTTTTCAACGAATTGATTGATTAAGACTAAATCATAAATATAATCTACACTTAGAAAGTAACTATACTGTCAAGCTAAAACATTCATAAATGTACAATTTCTAAGATTTTGTGATATATAAAGGGAGACTTTCAAGTCTATAAGCTCAAGTCTATTAAGTTGAAAAGACACAAGTTCTTTGCATTTAAATCTAGGACTCGATCATAACTTGAAGGTTGGACTTAACAAGTACAAATATGGTCGAGTTGCTGCCAGCTCTCTTCACTCAACAAGCCATAAAAGCAGCCGCAGTGAATAAGTCTATGTTTTGCTAGTCTGATGACAAAGACTGTTAAGTTTCAAGTCTATTCCACTTGATAAGTTCAAGTGACCTAGATCAAAAAGGACTTCTTGATTGATCAAAAAATCGAAGAAAATAACGGAACGATCATCGCTTGAGAAAGAATCAAACTGAGCTCAGTGTTCTATTTAAATTAAGAAAACCCAAAAAGTATGATCAAGCATAAGACACGGACTGAGGGAATTCTCTTCTTCAATAAGTCTGATAAAGTAAAAAGCAAAGGATCGAAGAAGTTATCACATAGTTCATTCAAAGCACGATGCTAAATTAAGAGATTTAATTGTCAACAAGTCCAATAAAACACTAAGTATATGATTGACGATTTGCTGCTACTAACTCAATATAAGTTCGAATGTTAGGTCACTGACATGCATCTTTCAACAAGCTCACCAAAGCAAAAAGCTAGGGCCAAAGATATGCTCACTCATTTGACAAGTCCATGGTGATAACTCTGGTTAATTCCTTCATCAAGTCTGTCAAAGAATAGAATTAAGACAGATGAGATCATAAGAATTTCTGAAATTTCGAAAGTATTGAAATAAAACTTCAAGTACTTCAAAGTAAAAGCAAAGGACAAAAGGCAAACTCGATCTCTCTGACAAATGAACGACAACAAGTCAAAGGCGGCGTCAACCAAAGTTGGTATATAATGATATAAGTCTACATATCCTACTTAAAATTCATATTTTGTGCGACATCCGTGACTTTCTCGGAGATTCTCAAAATGAAACCCTCAACTTGATATCCAAGCAAACTTTTGGAGATCCGTCTGGTCAATCAATTTGCAACAAAATTATCTCCTTCAGATGCGTATCGTATTTGTTTTGGGGGGGGTATTTGTTGACCGCTAAAATTAACTTTAAAAAATTCAATTGAAATAAATTAATTCTTTGCTCCTGCCCAAAATTGTCCTTATTTGTTCCCTCTCCTTCGTTACAAACACTCACAAAGTTCACACCCCACTGGGTCGTTTCTGTCGCAAGGAATCATACAAAATCTAAAATCCCTCGTCATTCTTTCTCCAGTCCTACAACTCTTCTTTAGTCATGCAAAAATCGTCACTTCCCTATTAAGAAGCCTGCTCGAGCCTCACCTTCCTCTTTGTGATCGTGAGCTTTGCAGTACAGTCATGATTAGGGTTAGCAAGGAAAGCAAACGATTGGATTGCAGTGTTCAAAGACCTTGCCTTCATCACTCTCCCTATTCGCATGTCCCACTCATGCTACAACTGCGACTAATGCCAACTGGAAGACAACGATGGGATTGCTGCCAACAGAGACCTTTTAAACTCCCATATTCACTTTTTCTGCGCCGC